TTAAAAATCAGTATAGGTTCGCCGAGAGAGATGTTTTGGTAAAAAATTTGTCACGTTACGCGCCCGAAATAATTTCATGATTGAACCTAGTTCCTTTGCCCGTACTTATTGGTACTTTTCACGTTTTATTGAAACTATGGAGGCATTTAATTAGCATGGAAAGATTTGTAAGAGCCTATACTCATATCTTTATTCTTTTCTCTCCGGACTTTGTGACCGGGCAGTTCGCATCGGGAGATACCCTCCATTATGTTATCTTCTGTAGATTGTATGCATGCGTGCCCCTGTAAGGTTAGAACGAAACGTGCAGGCTCTCTTGTGTTTAGGGATGTTTCTAAAACAGCTGACAAGCGAATTCTTTTCAAACTTCCACCCGGTTGCTATACATACGCCTCTGTGTACGCCAACATGTTCCTTACTGACGTGCTGTTCCTCGGATCCCTGTTCATTTTCATTCGGTCCGATTATTTAGTTTATTAATAGCTCCAAGGAACAGAAACTTAGCTGCTGTAAACCCTTTTTGAGGCCATGATACTATCAACCAAAGGTATATCGATCAGTGTGTAACAAAATATAACACTCGCGCAGCTAGTGTAAAGTGTATTATTTTCTAACAAAGCTTTAGATTTTAACTTCTAGTGACAATTTTAGGCCTTTTAGCAGTTTATATGAGGCAGTCTTGCCCGGCACTGGGCTGATTAATATATTATTATAAATGATATTGATCGAATAATACAATAATGCAGTAGCTATTTCATTCAGTTTTCACTTTATTTCACACGAGTTTTGATTAAGCGACAGCAAGCAGGTAGCGAAACAATTATACGCCTACACCACAATCGGAATACCGTAATTACTCGAATAAACGCTTCCCTCGAATGTATGCCGGGTCATATGACTGACTTGCAAAAACAGCTTCAGGGAAAACCCCCAAGAAGTAAATGTCAATATATATAAATATATATATAGATACATATACTTTGCCATCATATATAATTGTATACGTAATGCAGTGAGAAATGTTTTAGTACAAACATTAAAGTGGCGATGTATTATAAAAATTTGCAGAGTTACAGTGTGTTGAACGTCAACGACATGCAATTATAATGCAGCGCGTAGATTAGACTGAACAAAAATATGTTGTTATTACCTTTCTTCTCAGCAGAGTAAGAGCTAAATGAAATAAATATCTAAAATAAACATGACATTCCTGTGGTATTAATCATTGACTATATATCTACTGATATGATGCGCAGAAATTTGACCGCCATGCACTGGCAAAAAAATTAGCTTGACGAGTAAAGACTGGTAATCAAGAACGTTCTTATTGGCTAAGACGGAAAGTTTACATTTTAATGGGAACGTCAGCAGTTTAAAAGTAAAAAAATAAAGTGTGTAAAAAAGATAAAGATTAAAAGTTACATAAGCGAATACCTATTTACTTTGTTTATTCCGTATGTTAAAATGAATATATGAAAATGTGCCCCCCAATTATCGTCTCCTGTACGCCACTGCGTGTTTTTGAGGGCGTAATTTGAATTTTGATAGAACAAATGCAACTACAGGGTGTCTCAAAAAAAACGCAACCACTTAAATATGCAGAACATTAATACAGCTCTTAAGTGCAATAGATAAGCACCTCTGGGAATTGAAAATGGCTCTTAATCCTTCATTTACAATGCTAAAAGCAGAACTATGGCAGAACTATGGTGCAAACCCGAACAATATTAATATTCTTGCATATTTAAGGGGGGTTTTTTTGGTTGGTTTGCGTTTTTTTTGAGACACCCTATATACTCAGTTGTCGTCACATATTGGATCGTGTTCCTATACCAAAACCAGTGTCGCCTATGCTATGGGGCAATTTAATAATGTAAACAACACGACAGAGGGTGCGTGGTTGAACAGTTTGCACAGTCTCGCGACGCGACATCCTTTATCGACGGCTTCAAACATTTGTTGATAGTTTTTATCGCCCAACAGCCGCAATATCAGCGATTTAAAATATTCCTGGAGCATGTCGCTTATTGCTCGTGCAGTTTGGAACGCCAGCCGGTAGTATAATCCTTCCGTTCATGCCTGGTTGGCCGGTATTGTGTGCCGTCTTTTGTAAGGTTTCGAATATGGCTAACGCTCGTGTATTTATCGAATTCCGTTGGTGGACAGTTGGCGTAATTTATGGCTTTCTTTAATAGTTCTGCCACGTTCAATTGCCTAGTTGCTGCAGGGACCGTTTTAATAAATCCACCTCTGTTCGCAGTATCTATAGACTCTATATATAGACGGAAAAGATGCGTTTACTCATCTTTTATGCAAAAATTCTGCATTACTTTATTGCCACCTACGACGATTGTGACAATATTCATGCGATCTACCGGATCACTTGGATAGCTGATCGCATGCACTATGAAATTGACACTTAGTCAGTTGTTCACCGGCGAGGACGACTTAACACACGAGGCACACGAGCACACACGTGGCTTGGGTGAGGCTTCACCGGCATATCTTTGAGTGCGCTTGCAATGTCTATGCCACTCCATATTTGAGATAATTATGCAATGTTTGGGTACGTTTTTACCAGTGTAACATAGGGTGAGTTTTCACTAAATCTGGTGCTAATGATCAATGTCGGTTTTTGACTTTTTGATATTGTGGGCGAGTTGGTCTCACCTGTGGTCTCACTCATGTGTTCCTGTAGATTATTGGTGACAGTGTGATATGGATGACGACGACTAAAGCAGTCGCATTAACTATAACGAAAGGACTAACATTATATGCATGATCATATGTTTAATGTAAAAGTAAGGTGTTATTACACGCATATTTGCCAAAGCACAGGAACTAACATCAGGTGCCTGTTTGAAAAAACACGAGAGCGTATGAAGCGGTCATGTTTGAACACGAATTCGAGTGTTAGGAGGCCTTACAACATCGGTGTAAGGAGGTCGGTGCTGCCGTATTTTTGTTCACGCGGATATATAAGGCGAATACTTTTGATTCTTACCTCAAGCTCTTCTTTTGGTTGTGGCTGGGCGGTTGGCTGTGGTTCTGTGACAACTGGCTAAGTTGGGCTGTCACATGAGCTGGCGCTTCGGCCGGTGTTACAGCGGATAGTGTCCCCCCGCGGATAGTGTCCCCCCGGACACTATCCGCTAGCGGATAGTGTCCCCTTTAATTACTTTATCCGCTAGGACACCGGTTCCTGGTCGTGTATCTGTTGTCGCACTTGCCTCTCCTAAGCTGCGTCTTGTTGAGGAGGTACACCGTACACGCTGGTTTGGGTGCCGAACAATAGGTCGCAAATTATGTTGCAATTATGCGGTCCGCATCGTACGAAGGCTTCGTCTGACTATTCTGTATTTAGTATACACCCGACTATTGTCTATTACACATCCTACATTCTGATTGGCTACTCAACCATTGTCTATTCGTGATGGTGAACGTTTGGGAAAAATTCGCTCGCACGACCGTATAAAATTGAATTAAATAAATTATTTTTCGGTGTAATTGCGGTGTATTGATTATTTTCTCGAAATTAATATATCTAGGTACAGGGTGTATACTAAAATAAATAAACAACTCGCCTTCGTTGTCTATGAGCGAATAGTCAACTCAGGCTTCTCCGTCGTTGACTATTCGCTCATAGATAACTCGGACTCGTTTTCCAATTTATTAATTGGACAGACACCTGAGTGACCGATTGACAAACCGAGAAGAATGGTTACCCGTTCCTGCATATTCCTCGATCTCCTGTATTTTTCTAGCCTATACCTGATGCATTTTAAATTACGTACTTGACCTTATGATATCTGTGCATATCATCAGTGCAAGGGTTGTGAATAGCAGCAGTATCAACCAAATAGCAATTGGAAAGGTTTACCCACCACCTAAAGCTAAAGATATTATTAATTTAAGAAGATAGGAATTTAAAGAGTGATCTAGTATTTGTTACTTTATTAGTAAGACTACGACTAAGAAGCATGCATGGTGATATGCGATATTTCTATCTATCAGACAGGAACGCAATTTCATTTGCCTAGTCGAACGTATTTTTATTTAAATTATTTCTCTGCTGTCTGTAGCTTTGCAAAATTTAGGTATAATTATTAATTACGTTTTAAAAACCATATAAATTGTATATATTCGTTCTATTTATTTCACGTTTAGAATACTTTCTACTGAGCATGGGGAGCACTGTTCGCAAATCTGCCAGTCAGATATTTGGAAGAGACCCAGTTGATGATAAAGCTACATGTGCTCAAACACAAGGGCAGGACGTCACTTATCATTTGAAGGACATGAACTTCACGCCAAGCGTTTCTAATAGTGTTCTACGCAAATTTTCGAAAAACAGCAGTTTTCCTGGAGTATTAACAAAATACTTAAGTCGCCAGAAGATGTTCAATTTTGATGCTAAGCATTCCGGAAAAAGAAGTAGGTTTTTGAAGTTAGAAATACGAAAGGGCATTATACACATCATATCCATTCAACTTGCACAAGAGGGGCAATTAACGAAATTTTCGCAACATCAACTTTCTCAACAAATTGATGGTTTTAACTTACAAATTCTATCGCGTGTTATATACATATTATACAACCAGATAACGACTATCTCTACTGAAATGCCAAAACTAAGGGCCGAAGATTATTGTAATAAGCTTAAGTTAAGCGAAGATTTAATATTGGAAAATAAAAGGTTGTTAAATGAAAATGAGTCGGTAAAACAGTTATTACGAGAAAAAAATGACCTCATTGAAAAACTTCAGGAAGAGTATCTAGAAAAAGAAAGTCACTTCAAAGAAGAGAAAAAACATTTGGAAAGTGAAATACTGCAGTTCAAGAAAACAATCCTCAGTCTTGAGGAACATATAAAGGGACTTGAAAACGATAAAAAAGATCTGTTATCCGATATAGGAAGACTCTCGGTTGAGATCGACTCCAAAATAACCAAAGAAAAAGATATCGAGAATTTAAGAAAAATTTTCCAGCAAGTCCGCTTCCTCTGTAAACGCAAGTGAAGAATCCGCTGAGATAGTCGTCTCTCCTGATAATCATCGCACTGAAGAAAATATCCCTCGAAATCAAAACCAACCAGACCGTGTTGGATCAAGATCAGGTGTGCTCCCTTCAAATGAAAGCAATGGTTCATCTGAACCGCTGCGTTTTCCAGTCCAAATACAAGAAACACATGGTGCTGATGGAGGGAATACATCTCTTTCGTCAGCCATATCTTCAGTCCATAATGCATATAAACAACTATTGCTAGCCGTTGCCAATAGTTTGCTCACCGGTGATGTCATTAAGCTAAAAGATTGGGCTCATGAACAGTTTTCAGTCGCAACGAATCTTACTTCAACCGAAATCATTCTTCAATTGGACCGAAAAGGTGTTATCAACATATCGAATACAAGCGTGCTTCGCGAATTCCTCAAGTTAATTCTGAGAATTGATTTAGTTCACCTCATCGATGAATACAACAGCGGAAACTATGTTAATTTGAGAAGGTATGTTGTTAAAATTAAGGAAAAGAGCGTGAGCAGCACACGGGAAGTAAATCGGGCGTACGCATCTCGTAGAATTCCGTCTCAACGAGAGATATCTGAACAAAACCTTCCCCCTGTTCGTACAGACACTATGGTCATGCCTCCTGTCAGTAATCAACTTGACATAGCCAATGTTCATCATCAGAAGCCCAGCACAGCGGTCTCAAGACGCAATAGATTGTGCGCGCATGAAGATGTCCCTAATGGCCGTGCAAGAGATACAGCAAGAGGTCGGTTTGAAATAACTTTTATCTAATTTCACAATTACTCCAAAATTTTGTTGCTTTTAGATGTGCCACTTTGGAATCAATGACCATTAAGCAAAGTTGGGCACTATTTCTACCGATGTAGAATAACTAACTTATAAAGCTACAATTTTTGCGATTATTTTCAGGTAGCGAAAGTAGATCAAGAGAAGCAAGCAATGGGATTACAGAGAATTCAAGACATCAAGAGCACCGAACACGTGCTCGTGACCAAAACGCACGTTTTAATTTTCCTTCCACATCAAATAATCCAAATGGTCGGTCTGAGAGATCAAACAATGTGAAGAAACAAGCAAATAGATTGTTGTGTAATCACTACAAAAGACGTTGCATGGTGAAATTTGAATGTTGTGATAAATACTGGGCTTGTCATCGTTGCCACAACGAGACGAGCACGTGCCAGCAAAAGAAACTGAAATCACGTGATACGACGATGGTAAAATGCATGGAATGCGGTAAAGAGCAACAGGTAATGAACAATGGCATAATAGCTACTTTATTTCATATGGAAAATTTCCCCCGCTTCAGGATTTTTAATTTTTTCAGCTTCGAATTTCCTATATTTTTTTGCAACTTTTCCATAGCAATTTTTCTCCATTACCTTCTTATAGTTCGGTCAATTTTGTGTTTCGTGTAACACTCAATTCGCTGATTTTTACTGTGGTCTTTGCAAACATCTTACTGGAAGAGATGATCATCCCTATCATTGCGAGAAATGTGGAATTTGCCGGTGGGAATTTTTGCTATATAGTTAACTCTATAAATCAACTTAAAAAATAATTTTATTCTTCAATTACGATGTCTCAACTGACTTCATGACAACTTAATATTGCAGAATCCATGGAGATCGTTCATTTCATTGCGACGTCTGTGGTGTTTGTCTTGATGTTCAGCTCAGAGGAAATCATAAATGTCGTCCAGATTCCGCTCATGACAACTGTGGTATCTGTCTAGAGGTATAAAACTATAAGCGATATTTAAAATTTACTTGCAAAATCTGAACCCTCCTTCATGACTTCACGTCACAGTAATTTGTTTCCGGACATCATTTTTCAGTTTAGGTTTTCTGCTTTAAGAAACCCATGCAATTTACTATTAATTTCAGTGAAACAAACTTGGGAAACTTGGGTACTCTCGTGTAATTAAATATATCAATACATTTTAAAAATGTCCTTCATTTTTTTGCAGGATGCGTTTACGGGATGTCAAATTTTGCCATGTTCCCACAAAGTTCATAAAGAATGCTCCAAGTTAATGATTCAAAACGGAATGTAAGCTGAAAGTTACATTATAATATATACCCCTCATAGTTACGACTTTCCTGCTGGCAAAAAATCCCCGTTAACAACACTACATTTAGTTGTATACGTATGTCATTCTGACGTATGGAAATTGGTTTTGGTGTCAAAATTGTTGCCACAATTTTGTGAAAATTACAGTGGCATAGCCAGCCCGACAATTTAGTCATGCTATGCTAATATTTTGGTGTCCATTGACTGTGAAAACAATGAATTTCTAAAGAAATGAATAATGATAATAACATAAAATTTGCATAGCATGACTAAATCGTCAGGCTGGCTACGCCACTGGAAAATTATAAATCTTACTTGCAGCCCTTTTTAACATCAAATTGCTAAGAATAGCCTGCATCATTCATTACTATTTTTAGAAGGAATGATGTAATTATACGGTTGACCGTGAGAGGTGACATAAGAGTCTTTTTTCATGCTATTTCTACAACCCTTTTCATTCGTTTTTCAGGACTCGTTGCCCAATATGTCGAGAAAGTTTTGCACACAAACTTCAAAGAAAACCAGTTAGAAAACAAACAACAAAAACAAGGTGATTTAAGTCAGTAAATCACTCTGCTCTCTTGGAATTATGGGGTGAACTGAAGATTTTTAGACTGATTGGGACATGCAGTGATATCATTACGATAGCGTAATTATCGTATTTTTACGTCACTGAACCATTATCAGATTCCCGAGAAGGCAGAAATTTGTGGCAAACTCGTTATCAACCACATGATGCAGGCGTGAGCAAGTAAATAAATTAAGATTTTGGATGGAATTTAACATGCACGCGCATGGCACGTTGATTGGGTGGATTCATTCAGAGATCGACGAGAACATACATTTTCGGGAAGCAATGAAGAGCAAGTGAAGAAGCTATCAATATAATCGTAATTTTTGGGTCTTTTTTAATTTTTCGCATAACATGCAGTATATTAGCGATTTAAAAATTTTCAAACTAGGGCATGAAGAAATAAGTCTCCTTTAATTAATATGAGAGTATAATGAAGATGGAAGCTTTCGATCATTCTCATTTACTTTCCATGGTAGATAGATAGATATCAGATGGTATATTAATTTTCACTAAAACATTGCAGCTTTAGGCTGAATTACGTTTAGTTTAATAAACTGCTGCCATCTGTTAATAGCTCCTCAGTGAATTTGAGAAGTAGGCGTAAATTTGACATACCTAAAGTTAAGACGAACCGTTTTAAAACCAGTTTTATAATTAGCAGCTAAATCTTTCAAAGCATATCAGTAATTAATTTTTTCTCTACTCATCTACATGCATGCATTTAAAACCTTTATATATATTTCTAAATAATTTTTATTCCATTTGTAAGCTTATGATTCTCATCGTTTGAAATCTGTTTAAAAAGTTTATCTGTATACGGTACTGGCGGCGTACGACGAAAGGGACCTAATGAATTCAGCAATTGATAATGCTTCTTGATATGATGTTGATGCCTGATGGATATACTATATGCATAGCGCGCTCGGAGTTTGCATTCTTTGAGATCGTGTGAGAGGTACTCGGGTAAGCTATCATAAAATGCTGGGCAAGCATATCCAAACAGAGATCTAATACACGGTTTAAAAAAATCGATTAACCAATTCTTTAGTTCCAACATTAGAACGTTTCAGCTGAGATAAAAAAATAAAGTCGTTTGGACGCTTTTTTAACAATTTCAGTAACATGCTCGTTCCACTTCAAATTATTTGATACTCTCAGACCTAAGATCTTAGCATGGACTACAATTTCCAGAACTTTATCATTTATTGTGATAGGTTCCATGGGCCAGTTGTATCAAGCTCGTTTAGCTTAAATAACACTCTTACAACTCTCTTGATCATGAATGAGTCAACTTGAATATTATGCACTGAATATGTAGTTGTAAACATGCAGTATCTTTGTATTAAGGACAAAAACATTTAGTTCCCTTGTTGAATAAAACGTTAGACTTGCTTTCTATTTTGAACTTATCCGCCGTTCAAGCTAAACGGGCTTGATACAACCGGCCCCAGGTCTTTCTTCACTTTGGAAAAGCAGATCCGCATTTCTTTGCACTTAGATTCATTAAGTTGGAATTTATCTGCTCTGGACTGGTTGGCAAGGTCGTCCACTGCATCTTTTATTTGACTTACTTCATTTTTCAGGATGGTTTCACTAATGGTTGAATCTTCAACAAACTTCCGCATATCTTTACCCAGAGAGACAAGGTCATTAATCATAATAACGAACAGCCATGGCCCAAGTTTTGTGCCTTGGGGTACCCCTGATGGTATTGCACCGAACTCCGAATAACACTGCTGGCCAATAAACTCTTTGCTGATGACAAGTCAAAAAGTCGGCAATCCACATTTTTAACACGGCTGGTTTAACAAATTCATCAACGATGAAATCTTTTGCTAGTTAAGTTTCGATCCCCGCGAGCAAAGCAGGGCCGTAACTAGAACGATAATTGGGGGGGGGGGGGTGTTTATTCATATATTCAGTTCTGCCCGACGGATTTCTTTTGTAAGTGCAATAGCTCACAATGGAAATCCGTCGGGTAGAACTGAATATATGAATGAGCCAACTCATTGAAGCAAGACGTGTACTTTTGAGCTCCTGCATTTTACAGTTTTTATACCGATTTTACAAGTTTATAACTCATCTATAATATATACCTTGGTCTGAGTTGTAATATGTCGTTGTCAGACAATGTGTGTCTTGCCTGGACGGGAGAATACGATCTATTAAAGAAGTTTGTATCTGAAGACTTAAAGTTAATTGGAGTATGGGATCAACCAGGCGGCGACAAGAAAGTATTTAAATCATCTAATACTTCGATTTCTTGGCGAAGATCTAAATGTTTGCTCTACATAGATGGCCCCGAAGCGAGCGATATCACACAGCTTATATGTTCCAAAATTGTGGGAAGTTTAAATGCTGTAAGTAGACCTAACGACACTAATAAAGACACAAATATCTCAGACTTTTCATGTCAGACGGCGGCCGATCTGCAACCTTGTTTATGCAAATGCGTAGATGTTTGTCGCGATATCAAAGATCTTAAGTCGAGTCAAAGTGCTAGTAATGAGGCTATTCAGGCGTTGTCAGAAACTGTTGATCTCATTGCTGAGACTTGTGCTGATTTTCACGGGAAGTCCTACATTGAACCAAAACGAAAAAACAAGTCTCACGCTGTTAAGAGCCTACATGAATCGCTTCACGAATTTGAATTGCATATATCTGATAATGAACAAAACACATTTGAGACAATAGAAATTATTGAAGCAACTAATTCTATTGAACCCAAGATCAAAAACACTGCGGTACAAATTCAGACTAACCCAGATCCTCTTTTGGAAAACGTAATCGAGAGTCCAAACTCGACTGAAGAAAGTGTGTCTATGGCTACTGAGTTTATACCGAGTCGCAACGCAACTAGAAAAAACAACTTAAATGTACCTACTCAGTTGGCTACCACTACTGCTCCCCTACCGAAACATTTGACACCATGTCCCTTCCTTCGCAGAAAAGGCCATTGTCTAAAAGGTTCAAAGTGTGATTTTTTCCATCAATTAGACCCACATCGGCGCAATAAATTCTCTCAACCACATAGTACAGCACCTCTGTCTATTAATCCAATGTCATCTTTCCCCACCTGGTCTTCATCAAGAATGAGTCCCCCTTTTTTTCGGGCCCACATGAACTACCCATATATTCCACCGCAAATAGGATTTCCTCCATTCAACGGTACGAGGCCACCTATCTTCCACCCTTGTATGGACTACCCCTACCATCCCCTTCCACTAATGGGAATCCCTACAAGGCCTCCTCATTACTAAAACCCTCACGGTCGGTAATGGTAAGATGCCTAGCTCTACACCACCCCATGATACTATGTGTCTCCCTAACATGTCTACTTCCACCACCCCAAGACAGGATGTTGAATCGTCTAAATTATATTTGCCTAAGCTATTGTTATCAAATGCTCGTTCCTTAGCCCCTAAAATTGATGAACTCGAACAGGTTGCGAAATTGAATGAGGCTAATATTATTTGTATTACCGAAACGTGGTTGTCGCCGAATATACCTGATTCCGCCTTATTATTACCTAATTTCTTTTTATTTCGTAATGACCGTGAATTTTCGAGTGGTGGCGGTGTCTGTATTTATGTCAGCTGTGAAATCTCCTGTACGAGACTTAAAAAGTTTGAGAACCCCAATATTGAATCCTTGTGGTTGTCGTTAAGACCTAAACGACTACCCAGATCCATCTCAATTATTCTTGTGGCTGCTATATACCACACGACATCATCTGGTGCATCTGAGAACTGGGATTTATACAATCATATCCAAAGTAACGTCGACATATTTCTTAGAGACCACCCCGATGCCATTGTTTTGATTACAGGTGATTTCAATCCAACCAGCACTGGCTTCGACGTTAATCGTGTTAAGAGGCTAACAGGTCTCTCTCAAATAATACGCGTGGGTACTAGAGAAAACGCTATATTGGATTGGTGTCTAACTAATGCAAAGAAGTCTACCTTGGATGTTTCTAAACTGCCCCTCTTGGTCTTAGTGATCATAACACCATCCTAATTAAACCTTACTTAAATAAACAACCTATTCAAGCGAACAAATCTGTGCTGAAAAGGGATCTTAGAGATAGCAATTTACGACTTTTTGGTCAATGGATTACTGCTTACGATTGGTCTGATGTTTTATCAACTTCAGACTGTGAAGAAAAGTATGCTAAATTTGATGAAATGATTACTTTCGCAGTTGATTACTTTTTTCCAGTTAAGAAAACTAAAATTAAAAAGTCAGACAAACAGTGGATGACCCCTGCCTTAAAAGTTGCAATATCCAAACGTCAAAAAGCATTTTTCAAATATTGGGAAGACGTCGAAAGCCTTTAAATATTGGCGAAATTTAGTCCAACATGATGTTAAAATTGCACGGGCTAAATATTATTGGAAATCAGTAGAAAAACTGAAAGACGGTAATCCATCTAAGTGGTGGAGAGAAGTTAAAAGCTTGGGTGGTTTGTCGTCTACTAATACATGGCACCAACAGTTAATAGGTGATGACCCTTCTGTAACACATCTGGCTGAGTCATTTAATGATTTCCTGGTCAACCTTACCTCTCACTTTTCCCCGCTTACACGTGATACCAGCTCCATCGACCCCGACGTACCACACCAGTTCCTCGTCAATCCTGGGATTGTTTTGTCATCCCTTCGTCAGATTAAGACCAATAAGTCCACAGGACCAGATAGAATTCCTAATATACTGCTCAAAATGTTTGCTATCGAATTTGCTCCTGTTCTGGCTGATATATACAATTCATCAATACAACAAGGAATTTTTCCACATCAACTAAAGCGTGCTGTCGTTATTCCAGTTCCGAAAGTGTCACCCCCAGCAACCCTCGAGAACGATCTGCGTCCAATTTCTCTAACATCCCAAGTGGCAAAGGTTTTAGAAGGTTTTACCCTTAAATCCTTGTTGTCGCAAGTTGCTAACAAAATGGACCCTAAACAATTTTCCCTTCCGAGAAAATCCACAACCCATGCCTTGGTCTACCTATTACACTCAGTCTTAGCAGCTCTCGAGTCAGGCCAGTGCTCTATTAGAATATTCTTTGCAGATTTTAGAAAAGGTTTTGACCTGGTTGACCATAATATTATAATTGAAGAATTAAAGCGTCTCGATGTCCATCCTTCTATTGTTCGGTGGATCAAGGATTTTCTTACTGGCCGCGAACAACGTGTAAAAATTGACAATTGCTATTCCTCATGGAAGAAAACTAATGGTGGTTTACCGCAAGGTACCAAACTTGGACCCATTTTGTTTGCAATTCTCGTCAACCAGCTTCTAAATAACTGGCAGGCCGTATCAAATTTGTAGACGATTCGACAGCTTTTGAGATCATTCCGCGGGGTTCGCCTAGTTTTCTACCCATAATTGTAAATGAGATTTCCCTGTTCGCCATGAAAAGAGGAATGGAACTCAATCCAAAAAAATGTAAGGAGATGATTATAAGCTTCTTGAAATATAACCATACCTCCTTCAGTCCTATCTACGTTGCAGGCGTTCCTATAGAGCTTGTGTCTACATTCAAGTTACTCGGCGTTCATTTGTCTAATGATCTTACATGGAATACCCACGTTGATTATATAATTAAAAAGGCTAATTCACACGATTATATTCTCTTCGCAAATTACGGAAGCTGGTTTAAAACAATCCGACCTGTCCATGGTATATTGTTCCTTCGTCTTCGCTACTGGATATGCATCGCCATCGTGGGCTACCTTGTCATCCGCATTGTCAGATGAAATTGAATCTATCCAACGGCGTGCTCTCAAATATTTACCCGACGTTGTCATATGCTGATGCGCTTGTTGTTACAGGACTTGATAATTTGATAAATCGTAGAGACATGGCTTGCAAACTGTTCGTTCATAGGTTAAGGAATCCAAGACACACTTTTGTAATCCATTAGAATCTATTGTTAAAGTAGAATCCCAAAACCCGCTCATGATTATTATCTACGAAATCAAACAATATTCGATCTCCACCGCTTATATGCACTGAGCGTTTCGTAACTTTGTTACAGTTAAAGTATAATATTTAAAAAAATAATATTGAACTACAATATTCAATTCCATTTTAATCTAGCTAAGTATGTAAATAAGTCATTTTACCGTTGTATATAACTTCTCAATTAGGCCTACCTATGTAGACTATATTGATGATTATTATATTTATATTATTAATATTCTGTAACACTTTACAATATTTAATACCCTATGTAACGATAATCGTGTAATTCAGTTTGTACTGCGATACGATTTTAATAAACTAATAATAATAATAATAATAATAACACCCCCCCAATTATAGTTCTAGTTACGGCCCTGGATCGAAGGCCCTCTGCCGAGCACGATCTTTTTCTTTAGAGACCTGTTTATCCAGGGTGGTTCATTTACAACGATTGTTTAGGAAGACATAGGAATAATAATATCCATAACGCACACAAAAAACAGGTGTGTAGAATTACACACCAAGGTGTGTTTGACTACACACCAAGGTGTGCTCAATTGCACGCCATGGTGTGTAATTTCTGCACACCTTTCTACGCGCTTTTAGAAAACACACCTTGGTGTGTATGGAAACACACCTTTGTGTGTACGCAAACACACCTTCGTGTGTTCGAAAACACACCTTCGTGTGTTAGCGAAAACACCTCCTTTTGCACACCTTTTCTTTTACTCATTAAGGTGTTTTAAGTAACACACGTTTTCACTGAAAACACACCTTGGTGTGTTTGACAGCACACCTTGACCCATCCAAGAAACACATCTTTTGGCGTGTTATAAAACACACCTTTAAATTATTAACAATATGCTTGATTGGCCTTATTTATTATACTTATAGTATTTTAGTGCGTCGATAAAAGCGTCAGCCTTACGAGGAATTACACAAGTCACAGGAAATTTCACGCTTTCCATCGCATTTAAATTTAACTTTTTGCTTTAATTAAATTCCTGTTATCTTTGGCCTGCGTTTCAGCTTTGATCAGTATTAAAAACTCCAAACATTGCATAAGACATAATTTAAGGAATTTACAGATCGTTGTGGTTTACTTAAGTAAGAATG